GATTTACCTAAACAAATAAATTAAAAATACTTGCGGATCAAAAGTACTCAATCATACTACAATTTACGAAAAAATCACGCGTGACGCATATACGTCAGTGGGCAGTCAACTGACATAGACCCGGCGTCTACGAGTGCCAAAGCACGACTGATTTATGCCATTTGATGCACCCGATTTTATAGTATTTTCAAATTAATTTTTCATTTGAAGATTGAAGATAGATATTTTTTCTTTTTCACACAATAATAGTACTATGTTTCTTCTTAAGTATAAAGTAGTTTATGTTGCCAAATGACTTTTAGATTATGAGATGTGACCTGTTTTCTTGCAGTAATTTACTCGAATTTTGACTATCTTAGACATGATAAAAATGCATTTTAATGAATTAAACATCAAAATTTTCTCAATACACTTTCTTCTTCAGGGTATGCTTATTCTAATGAATACATTCTATCTTCTTACTTGGAAATAAATTTGTTGTAATATTGGTTCAAAGTTGTGCCTTCGCGAGTTACCTGGAAATCGGGCTTTCGAAATTCGCTGTTTTCGTAGGCAAAAATCCAATTTGAACGAGATTTTGTCAATAGACATTCCGTAAAAACGTATGATAATTACGATGATATAAGTCAAAGGAAACTATAACAATAAATTATATGACTAAAATCATTTCGAAATCTGCCAAATTCTCGATTTCTGCATGAAAAATGTGACAACGCTCTTAACAGTTTTATGGCCATAAAAGTTGGCTCAAACTTAACTACCTATTTGTTGAAGAAGTGACTCTGGATCCTTGTAAAGACACATTTTTGGGGTAAAAATCTTTCCTTTAATGAAATGAAGTTTAGAACTAGGCTTTTAAATGGTGCCAGTATTGGTGGGAAGTGGGGATGGATACGTTTCAAAGTGCTTGTCGCGGGAGGTGCGATTTATTTGACGACGAGTGTATTTATGTAAAACGTTAAAGATTTCCTGGCCCGGACTTGGTATTACATGGATCTCACAACTTTTTACCGTAGAACAACTGAGTTGCGAGACTTGGTTTTTTTGACAAGTATTGTTTTTGATGGGTCCGGTTTTCAGAAATGTACACCCAAGTTTATGTTTGAAATTCGAACCGAGGCCAAGAGGGCAGAGTGTGAGTTAACAGCATGTCACTAGTGAGCGCGTTAAAAAAATATATGAAAATTTTAGTTCTTGAAAGTTTCCGCTAGGGGCGCTACAATCCCTCATATAATTTAACTAGCTTTCCGCCCGCGGCTTCGCCCGCGTTGAATTTTGTCTGTCAAAGAAAAACGTTATCGCGCGCGTCCCTGTTTCAAAAACCGGGATAAAAACTATCCTATGTTCTTTCCCGGGACTCAAACTATCTCTATGCCAAATTTCATCAAAATCGGTTGCGAGGTTTAAGCGGGAAAGCGTAACAGACAGACAGACAGACAGTTACTTTCGCATTTATAATATTAGTTGGGTTGGGAATTTGGGATGTCATTATTTTACACGCTCACTAGTGAAGACGTTTAGACGTTTGATGTAAAAACTCACACTAGGCCCTCGAATCTGTTTTTGCGGGACACTGCAAACGGAATATTCGTGTGAATGTTAATATTAAAACGGGTATTACTACTAAACGGGATCCTGCAGAAAACAGGATGTCTTCGTGGGATATAGAGTACTTATAGTCTTTATAATACTTTATCACGCATAGTAGGTACAAGTAGTTCAATGAAAAACTGACATGGAGTTTTTTATTACTAATGTTATACCATCAATGGCGTAAATGAAAGCTAATAGGAATTCTGACAGTGTTACTCCAGCATAAACTGGACCACTGTATACAAAAATACCAATGATTTCCACAACGACCATAGGTCGTCGGTCCAACGAGGCTAAGTGGACGTTTAGTATTAGTAAATTCGGAAAAAATCAAATGTTAGCGCGAACTAAAACAGCACAGTGCCATCTAGCGGAAAATAAATAAACTACCAACTAAAAGCCACTAAAGACTACAATTATTTTGTTTTTCTCTGTCATCCAGGGTGTCCGCTCGATTTTGGGACATTCTATAAAATAAAATAATAATGTGCACTAAATAATTATGTATTGTAAAGAAAAAAAAATTGAAGAGACTGTTTTAATTAAATAGACTCCGAAACTACTGATCTGAATTGAACAATTCTTTCACCAATAGAATAAAAAAATCTGCGGCTATAAAATATTTTAAGACAGGACACTTATTCATAACTAGCTTTCCGCCCGCGGCTTCGCCCGCGTGGAATTTAGTCTGTCACAGAAAAACTTTATCGCGCGCGCGTCCCTGTTTCAAAAACCGGGACAAAAACTATCCTATGTCCTTTCCCGGGACTCAAACTATCTCTATGCCAAATTTCATTAAAATCGGTTCAGTGGTTTAGGCGTGAAAAAGAGACAGACAGACAGAGTTATTTTCGCATTTATAATATTATAGTACCTATACCTACTCAGATAAATGTTATGAATTTTTGTATCACAATTGATATAACCAAACTTGCAACCCCCAATCCGAAAAAATCTAATAATCCTCGCTAAACGTTGTAAACGGATCAACAAATTGAACTCGATAAGTTTCGATCGCCATCTGTCTGTATGTATTAGCACACTGGCTCCCAATCTTTTGCAAGAATTATGTTTGAAGCCACGATAGCCGAACGGTGAAGGGGTCGGACTGGCCGACTCGTGATCCGGGGAACGCGGGTTCGTCGAACCCCGCCAATCGACTATTGTGGTGAGCCCACTCGTGACTCAAGCAGTACGAGGGGTTAACGGGACTATTTTGTGCCTTCAATCCATGCCGTAGTAGCCTCTAATTATGGCCTGGTTTCCACCAAATGCAAAGTGGAGCAGAGCGGAAAAGTGTGGGGCCGTCAATTTTTTCTATAGAATTTGATAGACGTTTGTGATTTGTGCGAAGCAGAGAAAAGGAGTAGAAAAAATAAAATCTAATTAGTTATTCAAAACGCTTCTCCGCTCAGCTCCGCATTGGTGGAAACCGTGCCTAAGACAACATTTAGTTCTTATTTTTTAGAGTTATAATAAATATAATTAATTTTATTTTATGCGTGTTCATCTTGTTGGGTAATTGAATAATTGGTAATAAAAAAAATAACTAGCGGAACGCTCGACCCGAGTCGACGTAGTATCACAGAATACATAATAGTAGCAACAGAAATTGCACTCCTTTGTGTAGGATCAGATCCCGACATTTTAACGGTAATAATAATAATGCAAAATATCCAACGCACATGGTGCATTCGAAATCGCACCTTACTACTACGCTCACAAGAGCGCATTTTTTTTGTGTTTAGAATTGATCTACGTCACCGCTCAAGCGTCAGGGTTGTATGAGCAAAGTTAAATAAATAAAAACTTAATTTTAAGAAGCATTTATTGTATTTACGATTAGAAAAGTTTAATCTAGTGGAGTTTGTATAATCGTACCATCTCTAAAGTACCTATTAATAAACTTCAGTGTTGCGATAATTCGAAATTAAACAAACAGTTTTAAAAGGTGTAGTCGAAAAATAGACACACACGGTGAAGTAAGTTAATGTTTTTATTAGCTAAAATAATTTTTTTGCTATAGTTTTTTGTCTTATGTATTTCAAAATAATTTATTATTTAAAAAGTGTAGTTTTTTTTATTATATAAATCACTACAGTTAATTATTATTCCTAAATATTACAATTTTTCATTAAAGAAGAATAACAGTGCTGTTGGAACAATAAACCTTGATTGCGACGATGATCGACCGAGCGTGTATAGAAATACGCGTGTACGCGCAAACAGGCGCGTGGCGGCCCGGACTGATTTGCAACTTGAAGTTGTCGCGCGCTGTAATTATCTCAGCCGGCATAGGCGAGTGACGGAGGCCTGGTAGTATCGCGTCGTGCGACACACCTCCAGCTGGAAAATTTATTGATACCTACCGCCTTCCTATAATATTAATTTGTATACTTATAAGCTATTGCGATGAATGTGCAATGTCACAACAAACATTTTTATGTTTAGTGATATAAGAAATGTTAGATTATAAGCCTAACCTTGTAATTAAATTAAATAAATAATAAAAAAAAAAAAAAAAAATATTAACCTAATATTACCAGGATGCAAGCGGCGCAGGACCGGTCTTTGTGGAAATCCTTGGGGGAGGCCTTTGTCCAGCAGTGGACGTCTTTCGGCTGAAACGACGACGACGAACGACGATTAACCTAGATTCCCTACGGCCCAACTTTGGGAACCCCTGCCGCAACAGATGTGAAGTGCTTGCGGACTATTGACAAGCAATAATAGTATTTTTAAGCGTTTAGGGGATCCGTTAACGAACCTATGGGTTTAGAAAGAAAATATTATTGCGGGATTTATTTTAAAAAATCTGCTCCCTCAGTAATGGTATTGCACAAACTAAAAGTTTCGTTAACCCCTCGAACTAACCTAAATATTACGAGTATAATAATTATGCTTGTGTTACGTACGAGTGGGTTTAACATATTAGTCCAGCGGGTTTTGACGCAGAACGTTTTAAAATTTGGTCACTTTCTCAAAAAGTCACTTTCGCAGAATGTCATTCACATTTTTTTCCAGTTTACTTATTTTTTTAACAACACATCAGCCCCACTAGACAAATGGCAAAAATCGACAGTACCTCTAGCACGAAAAACTTTCGACTTCAAATCGTTTGCTTATTCGAATCGCCTTCAAAAGATTTAGTACGAAAACTAAAATAGCGCCCATGTGAACGTGTCGTAAAGTGAACTTAGAAATGGTTGCACGAAACTTTTTGACAATCAAAACTGTCACGTTATCGTTTAATTCAAAGGTTGAGTATCGAATTTTGTAGAATACGCAAACGATTTGAAGACGAAAGTTGTTCATGCTAGAGTTACAGTTGTAATATCGAAAGTTGGTCGTAAAACCTTTTTGTGTAAGGTTCTCAAACTTCTCTCTTTTGTCCTCAGATGGGGCGGGGGGGCTGACGCACCATGGAGGGGGGCTGGCTCGTGCTCGCCGCCGTCCTCGCCGCGGCGCGGGCGCAGCCTAGCAACAGGAGTGAGTATCTTCAGTTATTACCTACTAAAGCCCGGTCCGTGAGCACGTAGAATTTTGTCCAATGACCCCAAGCTACCCATCCTTATCGCTCGCGCGTAATTATATTGCTGTCGCGACTGTGCGACGGACGGGAGTGTGCAAAACTATGTAGTTCAACGATAGTGGCGACCCCCTGTCAATGAGTTTGATGGTCATCTATAAAAAAAAACAGATATGACATGGACAGGAGGGGGCTACTATCAATACTTGGTTATTAGTTCCGATTTTTGCCACGTTGGACAACACTAAGTGTCCCTTACAGAATTTTCAATATTGGATTAATAATTGTTCAGATTTTTGCCACTTGACGTTTCACTTGACGTATCTCTCTCCGACAGAGATATTAATTAATCCATTTCGAATTTCGAAGCCGTTTCGCAGAATAGACCCCAAATCTTCTAACAGGATATGACGTCACGCGATTCCATGATGGCGTCGCCCGGCCGTTATTTCGGCGCGAAACGTTTATTTGTTTGAGATCGCCCTACGATTTGTGAGGGAGGAGATGGAATCGACGCTTCCGGAAGGTAATTTAGGGTTTGGAGTTTTATTTACTTACGTAGGTATGAAGAAAATAGATTAAGTTCACTATAAATACCGTAATGGACCATGGAAGATGCGTGGTTTTGCCTGTCATGAATTTTAGTCATAATTTCAGTAAAATTACCGTTTTTGTTATAGTTTGTAAAAAAAAATAGGAGAACCACTCCGAAAAGTCTACATAATAAAAGGATTTAAAAATCATAAAAAAATATCCGTACACAAAATGAAAATACTGCCAAAATATTCATTGTTCAAGATGTTAAAACAAAACATGTATTGTATGTCGGCCGTTTGGTGTAGTGGTTCGAATCGGACAACTATTCCGGAGGTTGCGGGTTCGATTCCCGCACAGTACAAACATTTGTGTGCATGAACATTTATTTGTTTGTATTTGACTGGGTGTTTTCTATGTATAATATGTATGTATTTACAAAAAAAAAGTATTTAAGTGTGTTTATATCCGTTGTCTAGTACCCATAGTACAAGCTTTGCTTAGTTTGGGACTAGAAGCGCAGTGTAAAATGTCCAAGGATATTTATATTTTATATTTATATTTATATAATATACATTGTTGTTACATTGACATTAAAAAGAGTACCTAATTAAATAAAAGAAAAGTATCTAATATCATCTAAAAAAGACCTTAGTGTTTGTAACTACACAGGACAGAACGATAATAAATCCCAAACACCTAAAAATCAATCAAAACCCGCAAAACAACTTCAATTTTCTTACCAAGATCCATTACTCAGTGCTGCCAACTTGCGGATCAAAACAAGCGACTTCCGGGCAACAAACATGGCCGACATAATAAATATGGCCGCCGGCACCGGTCGTTTCCCGCTTCCGACCATTGCATTTAATTGTTTAATCTTGTATTCTTGTTATGGGTTATGGTTGTGAAATAATTTCTGTTATGGGATATAATGTAGTTAATTAATGTATGTAAAACTAGCTTTCGCGCGCGGCTTCGCCCGCGTCGAATTTTGTCAGTCACAGAAAAACATCATCGCGCGCGTCCCTGTTTCAAAAACCGGGATAAAAACTATCCTATGTCCTTTCCCGGGACTCAAACTATCTCTATACCAAATTTCATCAAAATCGGTTCAGTGGTTTAGGCGGAAAAGCGTGACAGACAGACAGACAGAGTTACGCATTCGCATTTATAATATTAGTATAAAGTATAATAGTATAAATAAAAGTATAAAAGTATAGATTACATTTTGAACCAGTGTTCAACGTCCGTTTATCTTTTTTGTAATAACACTGTCTTAAAGCCATTTTTTTTTTCAATAAAACTTCGGTACAACTTCTCACAGTTAAATTATTTCCAAAACCATCCATTGAAATGACATAATTATAGAATAGACTGAGAAGCGAACTTTTTGCTGAGTATTCTGCAAGTAATTTATTATGAAACTTTAATGGACTCAAAAGATTTATACCAATGCATCTGACAGCTAAAATATTGCCGTTGGGTGCATATCGTGTATTTTACCTGTAGGCAGATTTCTAAGTATAGAAACTCAGAACAAAATTGTCACAAAATGCGGACTACCTAAAATATCTTTATATTTTTGGACAACACAAAAAATAAAATTAAATAAACACTAAAGGCCGTGACAGTGTCCTAAAATAATAAACTACCAACTCAAAGTCACCAAAGAGGTGGCGCTGTATACCTGCCTGCGGTGGTAGAAATTGAAACTAAAATTATTTTAAGTAATAAATAATTCACACGTTTAATCTTGATAATATTAATTAAAAAAAAATTGTTAAATAGAATGTCCCAAAATCAAAAGATAAACAAATTGTAGCCACTTTGGTTGCTATTAGTTGGTAGTTTGTTCATTTTTCGCTAGATGGCGTTGTGCTGATTTAGCTCGCGCTAACATTTGATTTTTTCCGATTTTACTAATACTGTACCTTCACTTTGACTCGTTGGACCGACGATTATTCGTCGTTGTGGAAATCCTTGTATTTTTGAATACAGTGGTCCAGTCTAAACTGGAGTAACACTGTCAGAATTTTCTATTATTTTTCTAATGTGCAAAGTCCATGTTAGTTAATGTTCCCACCGCTGCAACTCCTGTGTAGCCAGGAATCAGGATCTATAGCTTGACCGCCTATAAAAACCCAACCAATGAAGGTCAAGTTTGTCCCGGGGGAAAGTTAAACTGTCATTGGACCCGCAACGAATTTAATCAGAAGAACATCTCCACTGCCACTGCAGTTGTGACTGGAGGCCAAAGCTAATTTAATTTTTTTTCTTTACAGACGATGGCCCGCGGTTTCTCTCGCGGGGCCATTCCTTCCGTACAGTCGTGGGGGACACACTACTTCTGCCATGCCAAGTGCAAAATTTGGGTGAGTTGCTTTAATTTTACAAAATTACCTTACCTTTTCAATAGTTACCTTTTTTACTGATTAAACTTGTTTAGTAAGTAATGTGGTGCAGTTTCTTATATTATTTTTCCATTGATTCCGTTAACCCGACTATGTTCTGTGGTTGACCCCTCCGACCCCGACTATTGTACTACTATTATTTATTCTGTACTATTGTCCAGTTTTGCGGGTAGTAATGCAGTCCCGCAAAACTGGACTGTAATGTTGAAATTCCAACTCCAAATTCGTACGGATCGTTTTTTTAATTCGAGCGGGACACTGCAAACGGGATGTTTGTGTAAATGTTAATATTATAACACGTATTCCAAACAGGATCCTGCAAAAAACTGTTCATGCAGGGTTGATGGGATCCTGCAAAAAACGAGATGTCTCAGTGGGAACAAGCCTTTAATATGATTAAACCACGTATGTAGGTACTACTAACGGGATACAAAAAACAGTTCCTACCAAAAGCGGGATGTCCCGTGTGAATGAGCCTTTAGCCTAGGCGCAGACCACCGACTTTTAGTTGGCCGATAGTTGGGATCAATTTTAATTTGTGTGAAGAATCGGCCGGTACCAAATCGGTGTAATGTGCGCACTTCCATACATGCCCATACTGAGGTGGAATTGTGTAAAGCAATCGTAATCATTTGACAGTTCATAACGTACGATAAAGTCAGTTATACAAAGCGTTTGACAGAATTATCTTAGGTTATGAACTGTCAAATGATAACGATTGCTTTACACAATTCCACCTCTGATCGGCCGACAAAAAATCTTCTGTTCTGAAAAATAATTTGATGAATGAAAAATTTTTCTTTCTTTCTCCCTTTCTTTCTTAATCTTTAATTTCATCTCTCTGTCCCAGGCTCCCTGGTGCTCCTCTGGCGACGAGGGCCAGCTGTCCTGACGGCCGCCAGCCTCATGGTGACCAGAGACGAGCGGTTCCGACTGGTGGACGGATATAATCTGCAGATCACTGATGTTGGGCCTCAGGTAATACAGGGTGTCCCAGAATGGGTGAATCGAACTGTTAGGGGAGGTAGCTCTACTAATGTACTATCCCTAAAAAATATGAAAAAAAATAAAACGCATGACACAATTTTTTTTTAAAGTGAAAATAAATCAGCTTTGCCTAAGTATCTGACTATAATTGCTGCGTTTGGAGATTATTTGTACTTTTTTCTTACTAATATTAATTGTACATTATCGCTTCGTTTATCTGTAATCAAACTTTTGAAAATAATGACTAGATTTCGAGTTTAGAGCAATTTATTTTAAAAAAACCGAACTCAAAAATATTTTTTCATATTTTTTAGGGATAGAACATTAGAAGAGCTACCTCCCCTAGCAGTTTGATTCACCCATTCTGGGACACCCTATATAAATAATTAAATATTCTTGAACATTCGCTTACTTATGCACAAGTATTATATTATCTGTGCTTATGCACAGTCAGCATCTTAGATCATAGAAGGGATCCCTTTCTGTGATCTGAGGTCAGCATCAATACCTATACGTGACACCCAAAGTGGTCGAAAAGTTGACACGAACTTTTTGGCTAGTTTGTCATGAACTATTTGACGCTGACTATAAGAAGGCTAAAGGTCACCCAAAGGGCGATGGAGCGGGCTATGCTCGGAGTTTCCCTGCGTGATCGAATCAGAAATGAGGAGATCCGTAGGAGAACAAGTGACTGACATAGCCCGCAGAATCGCTAAAATCAAGTGGCAGTGGGCGGGGCACATAGCTCGTAGAGCTGATGGCCGCTGGGGCAGGAAAGTTCTTGAGTGGCGACCACGGGCCGGAAGACGTACTCGTAGTCTGGGCAGGCTCCTCACTAGATGGACCGACGTTCAGGGAGGTGCCTGGATCAGGTGGAGCAGGAGTCGTTGTGGAAATCCTTGGGGGAAGCCTTTGTCCAGCAGTGGACGTCATTTGGTGGGAATCGAACCTGAAACCTCTAGGTGTAAGAGATGGTCTTACCACTACACCACAAAGTCAATTATTAAAATCGTCGTTTATAAAATCCAATCAATTTAAACGACAAGATGAATCCAAATCCAGGTTAATCTCTTCAAAGTTTTGAGTAAAAAGACACTGAATGTGAATCCGATGTCATTTCTTTGAGACTTAATTAAAAATCAAGATTCAATCATTAGATTAGTGCCCTCGAGGGCAGATCAACTTGTCGGTAAATTACGAATCTTTCAATGCATTTTGAATTTTAAATCTTAAGTTATTTAAGGTAGAAAGTCAATTACGATTTTCTTTTTGTGGTGCTCTATGTGTTCGCAGTTGTACACTTGTACAGTGTTGTCAAATAGTGACTGTACGACCACAGAACAAATAACAAATCTGTCAAAAAAAAGAAATCTGAAAAAGTCAACCCAAAATAAAGAAAAAAAAATTTAAAGCCTACTAGGTCATACAATTTAAAAATATCACAAAATTAACTCTATCTCCTAAACTAAGCAAAATTGTATTTATTTATTTAGGACACCCAACAAGACAGACACAAGTATAGGCAGAGGGGTTTACATACATTGTTTATCATTATATTTGGGGGTCACTAAATTTTTCTTTTAGACCTCACTGTTTTGTCCACCCTGTATAACGAGTAAAAGTGTTAATGATGCGATATGGGAACCTTTTTCCCACTTTTCGCGCGTCCCACTAACCGGCAAGACTGACCATAACGCCCGATGTAAAAATTTGAATACGGTACATAAAATTTTCCGGCTTCTGTACCCGTATTACCCTTTTATGGCTTCATACCCATGGGGTGCCAATGGGACCCTATTACATAATGCCTAAGCTGTCTGTCAGCTGGTCAAAGTAATTTAAATTTACAGAATAAAAACGAAATAAAAATAGATCCTACTTAATTACTTATTCAATCTACAAAGCCTAATTTGTGAATTAACACACTCTTCGACATAACGTCAAGAAAATAAGAGACAAGTCTTTGCCTCAAAAGTTATGACCGAAATAACAAACAATGAATGACCCTATGAAAATTTCCCTCGGAAATGTCAAAATATGGCCGCAAATTGCTCGTGAATACCACTGCGTCCCAAATTAAGCACTTTTTTTCATATGAATACAACGAATTACCTCAAATTGCATCCCAAATTCGTTATTATTGTCGAAAAAATCAACATGGCGTCTCGGAAAGATGGCTGAATTGCCGCGCGAAAGCACCAATGCTGCCAACATAAAAAATAACGAGAAGGAACCACGAAAAAGGTTTTATGCGGTGATTATCATATTTTTTCATACCAATTACCATTTAGGGATGTTTTTTAGCCCCAAAAGGAGGATCTATGCAATTATTTTTGGTTAATCGCAATAAATGCAGCCTTAAGTAGATTTAAAATGTAGTTGTTTATGATTTGTTGCTTATTTTGCATACGTTTAATGTTGTTTATTGGCCATTTCTTCGAAGATGTAGCGCTATGAATATAAAGATCTTAATTAGAAGTAGAAAGATCGCATAAAATAAAATAAATCAATTAAGAAGTTTATAACTACATAATTTTTGTTTATTACATTTTAGAAATACAATCTCTGGACAAAAACTTAATGAAACTTGAGCGTGATAGGACTTGGTCTACAGTTGATGGCTATTTCTCATCGCCACGGTTCTCATCGTCACCTTCGTGGCGAATTTTTTTTCTAACTTATTTAAACTTTTTGTAAACAAAAATTGTAGCGCTTGATGTGAAGATTGTATTCTCAGTAAATCAGTCAAATAGTGAGTCTCGTTTGGAAGTTTTAACGTTTTGAATTTTTTGATGCCACGAAAGTGATTCTGTACTTCAAGGCAATAATTTTTTCAAACTTTATTACTGTAAATGACTCTTAAGTGTTTATAAAACACATATTTTGTCTTATTTTCATAGATAAATATAGCAATAACATAATATAAATAGGTACCTACTTAAATACAAGATAAAATTTTACCGATGACGTCACCTACTAAGTTACAAGATTCTACGCAATTGGTTTTAAGGGTGACACTGGTGGCATTCTGAAATGCTAAAGAAGCAAAAAACGGATTATCAGTACCTCAATAAAAAGAACTCTAACTGATTATCAGTCCCTCAACAAAAATATTTTTTTATTTAGGCCTCGTATTTTGGTTGTACAACTTTTAACTCAAACTTCAGATTAAATTAAATTTATCTTACAAACAGATACACAGTCACAATATACAGACATACATACAGTCATACAGACAGATAACAAAAATACGAGACCCTTATTTATTTATTGATGTACTGATCTCTACTTACCACGTATAATTTATTAGTTATTAAAATATTCTAAAAACATAAACACCAGTCACTATATTTTAAAATAAACCAAAGCAAGAAATCACTTTCGTGGCCTAAAATCACCTTCGTGTATAAAACACCACGAAGGTGATGCCACGAAGGTGACGAAAATTTTAGTTTTTTATGAATTATCCTTAAATTTGAATTTAACGGTTCAAGTTGAATACTACACAAATAAGTCTAACATGTTAAGTTTTCAATGGCAAAGTTTCAATTAAATTGTTTAAATTTTAGAGGTAGAAAATATTGTTCAAGCAAGCGACGGTATGTCTATGGATAATCACAAAAAGTTACGTATTTTTTTCGCGGAGCGACGATCGACCTATCTCACCTCCCCAATGGTCGAAGCGCGACTGACGTTAACCGAATAGAACGCTGTGATTGGTTGCTGGTGTTCGGTTTAACGGCAATCTTGTATTATTACTCAAAATTTTAGGTACCTAAAATCGTGTGACCAACGTATTTCGCTTTCTCAATTCAAAATAATTATAAGAAGATATTTTTTTGACTATTGTGTGGAAAGTATATTTAATTACGATGATTTTAGTATATGCTACACACAAATTGAATGAAAATTGTGAATGCAGTAACCAAATGTTTAATTGCAACCGAAGGTGTGACACGATGAGAACGCGAAAAATGACCCCGTTTTTTATCGTTTCATGTGATTTTTTCGTATTATTTTTGCTTCTATTACGATAAAATTTATTTTGTATGTAGCTAAATAGATATTTTATCATCTGATTTCAAAGTTATTGTTGTGACTTATACCGTTTATGAACTATTATTGTGTGACCATCAAATTTGAGTGTAAATGAGAAGTACCCTGATCATAGTCAGTTGATTCTAATGAGCATCTCAATCTTTTTTTAACTTGTCAAAATCGATTAGCCCAGGTAGCTCAGTGGTTAACATGGTCATCTTTCGTAGCTCAGTGGTCATCTTTTGGTTCAAGCTTGGCGAAAGAAATTAAGTACTAAATCAATAAAATTCATTTTAAAATTAAAATAAAAACACGTTAACTCTGACACTTGTGTTTACCGGCTCGGTAGCTCAGTGGTCACATCCGTTCGCGATAAGTTTGCCGCTGGCGCTATGACGTCACTCGAAGGGTAGCGTCTATAACTTTAACAAACTATATTTAAATATTTTTATGTATTATTATTGATAAAAATTGTGTATTTGCGTAAAATAAGACACATTAATTGCGTTTAATGAATCACTAACTAATTGCGTTTAATGAGGGTTTTCACGAATGAAATATCCACCAGATGGCAATACGTAGACGCGAGGTCCAAATGCTGCATGATGGGTTATTTTTGACATGACATTGACAGATAAAATATGTCAAAATCCACCAATCACGCAGCAGTCAGACCCCACATCCACGTCCCGCCATCTAGCGGATCTTTCATTCGCGAAATCCCTCATTGCGGTTGGAGGAGGGGGCGCGCATTTCACGGACCGGCAAACTTAGCGCGAACGGGTTCTTGTAGCTCAGTGGTCATCTTTTGGGTCAAACTTGTACTATGGGTATAAAATCTTACCTTTTGTTTTTCCAGGACGCAGGCGACTACGTCTGCCAGATCTCCGACCGGGTGGCACGCGACCAAGTTCACACAGTGGAAGTGTTGGTACCGCCGTCTGTGCGCGCGTCGCCCGAGTCGCGACACGCGGCCGCGCGGCGCGGGGGCGCTGCGGTGCTGGAGTGTCGCGCGGCTGGCAACCCCGTGCCTACCGTCACGTGGCACAAACTGGTAAGACTACCCACAGTTTAAACTACTTCTTCAGGACCAAAAGGGCCCCGTGACCACTGAGCTATCATTATTGAGCAACCCTTTTTTTTACGGGGAAAAAATCAGTTGAATCGCATACCTACCCTGCGGGGACAGGGTAGGTTATGTGGGGCTCACCAAGTCAGAAGGACGAGGCATACCCACTAAAAAGACCCCGGTGCTCCGACACTCGCCATAAGTGGGAGGAAACTGTGGGTTTCCGGAAAAAACCTTTTCTACCACAGCCCCTCCCGGCGATTGCCCGCCTACACGGCGGGCCCTACAAGCCCCCCAGGACGGGGGGCGACAGGAACAGCTAGGAGCACACAGCTATTCCCGTCCGACGGTGGTGGTGACCTGTGCAATGCAGGTGGGGGTACCCCCGGCCCGCTGGCCATCACCGAGGAAAGGAAACTGGAGGCGATCATATTGTCGCCTCCTCTGACCACTCCGCCGTCGCCGAAGCGAGCGGCGCGTTTGGATCATCCTCGCGCTCTCGCTCCTATTATTGAGCAACCCTGTGCCAACCATCACGCGGTACAAGCTCGGAGCTCTTTAACAAGCTGATCGCTGCAGGACCTTAAATGTAGTTGTAATAGAGCACACAGTGGAGGTGTTAGTACCACCGTCTGTTCGCGCGTCGCCCGAGTCGCGACACGCGGCCGCTCGGCGCGGGGGCGCTGCGGTGCTGGAGTGCCGCGCGGCTGGCAACCCCGTGCCTACTGTCACGTGGCACAAACTATAAGTCTACGGTCTACCCACAGTTTTCAAAATACCCACAAAATTCCGTGCTTCTATCTTTAAATACCTCAAACTGTAGATCCTGGCTACACAGGAGTTGCAACGATGGGAACGAAAGGTGGTGAGCTCCACTACCCGCCGTTTAAAAATCAGTTTTCACAGCCCAGTTTCACCACTGCTTCAGGACCAAAAGAACCGCGTGACCATTGACTTACTAACACGTGGCACAAGCTCGTGAGTACCACCTATAGCCCGGTCGGTGAGCACGTAGAATTTCGTCCAATGACCCCAAGCTAACCATACTTATTGCTCGCGCGCGATTGTGCGACGGGCAGCCGTAGGGAGTGTGCGAGCGCGACAGCAATATAATAACGCGCGAGCGATAAGGATGGGTAGCTTGGGGTCATTGGACGAAATTCTACGTGCTCCACGACCGGACTAAGCTAGTTAAGTTAGTTAGACTAGTCAAGTTACCCAATATAGCTCGGTGGTCACGTGGCTGGCATCCCTGTGCCTATAAAACCACCACAATAATTTGGTGCGGTGCAAGAGTGCCGCGCGGCTGGCAACCCCGTGCTCATTTGGCTGATACGTTTAGCATCATGCAATACTTGAAACTACATTATTATCTTTCCAGGTGTCCTTCCAAAACGACAGCAACACCAGGCTCGGCGAGAGTCCACAACTCCAGCTGTCGCGATTGGAGCGGACGCACAGCGGTCGGTACGCGTGTACTGTCGACAATGGAGTTGGGCCACCAATTGTGACCGAGTTTCAGCTGCAAGTGCTCTGTGAGTATTTTTAATGTAGAACTAGCTTTCAATACTCAATTCTTAAATGCATCCATAATGTTACAGAGGTGGTATAGGTATATCGTTTTATAAGATACAATTAAGGACCCTGTCGGGCACAGCATTCTAAGACAGCACAGCATTTCCGCCAGCATTTCTTTTTAAGGTTTTCCCGGAAATAATTCGAATTTTTCTCGCTGTAAAAACCATCCTTGGACTTCAAAGAACATTTAAGAAAAATAAATTGGTAAATTGGTCCAGGCGTTATTGACTTATATGCGCTTACTAAAACATTTTGGATGCAGGCCGCTACCAACTGTGCGATATGGAAGTCATTGGGGAAGGCCTTTGTTCAACAGTGGACGTCCTGTGGCTGAAATGATGATGATGATGATGACGAGTGGGCGATCGGCGGGGTTTAAACCCGCGTTCCTCGGCCTCGAGGAAGGCCTTTGTCCAGCAGTGGACGTCATTTGGCTGAAACCAACGAACGAACGAATAAATTTATTAATTTTCATTCCAGACCCGCCCGAGATCACAGTGGAGCGATCGTGGGTGCACACGGGAGAGGGTTTCAGAGCTGAACTACTGTGCACAGTGCTCGCCGACCCGCCAGCTGAGGTAAGTCAGAAGTTTTGTGAGAGTGCCTGTATGGGATTATTCCCACTTCTCGTTCCCACCGCTGCAACTCCTGTGTAGCCAGGATCTACAGCTTGACCGCCAGTAACCAATGAAGGTCAAGTTTGTCCCGGGGGAAAGTGAAACTGTCATGGGACCCGCAACGAAATTAATCAGAAGAACATAGGAGGAGTTCGAAGTTAAGGTTCAACTTCCCTCTAGTGCAGTGGTTTTTAGCCGGTGGTCCCTGGAGGCATTCCAAGTGGTCCACGAAGACATCGTAATAAACAAGTGACGTGACGTGATGAGTCGACTCAATACAACGCAAACGGCGCACAGTGGGCGAGAAATAGACCTCCCCTTTCATAGGGTTTTGAACAAAAAGTGGTCCTTGACAAGACAGAAATTTGGTAAAATGGTCCCTCGTGACTTAAAGGTTAAGAAGCACTGCTCTAGTGCAAAGCGGATGACAGGAGACAAAACAAAGGTTATGTAACCTTTATTAAGAAAAGATTATGCACCACAGACATGTTTCCTGAGTAAAAAGGGAAAAGCTTAGCAGCCGAAACGTCAAGCCATGAATAAAAATTATGTAACTCATATAAAAATGTCGCGTTGAGACCCGCGTTTCTCTATTTTACTTAAAGAAGGAAGAGTTTGAATTAGTCCGTCGGTTAACTTATCAAAAAATAATCGACACGTATTTTTCGCTTTTTAAAATAATAAAAATTTAAAGGGATAAAGCACGCCAAAGTTCAAAAGAAGAGCCCCGTCAAGTAGTGCTTAAAAGTGTAGCACTTTGTGACGTCACGCGAAACTTCAACACGTCATAACTTCGTAATTATTTGTTTGATTGACAAATAAATAATTTGATAAATAATTGACGGACTAGAAGTTTTTTTTAGAAAACTAGCCTATTGGTAGGGTTTCTTTGGGCTATATCAGTATACCCTGAACCAACATAATTGTCTTTCTTCCAGGTGTCCTGGTACCAGAACTCGTTCCCTCTGAGTGCCTCCGAGAGGGTGACCATGTCTGCGAGAGGGAACAACCACACACTTCACATCGCTAATGTGCAGCCAGAGGACTTCGGTAACTACAGGTGAGTTAGAAAGCCCCACTTCTTGTTTCTACTTAAAGACGAAGCTAAGGTATTAGAGATATGCAAACTAATGCGCTGAGTTCGAAACTCAGTGTCGCATTAGAAATAATTCACGCACACAAAGTAATCAAAATAAGTGCTCATTATCCACCTGCGGTATCAGTACGGCTAGCACGTAAATCTTTCGAGTTCGAATCGTTTGCGTATTAGAATCGCCATCAAAGGAAAACATACGAAAACTACAACAGTGCCCTTGTGAACGTGTCGTAAAGTGAACTTAGTATGAGAAATGGTTGCACGAAACTTATTTTGAGAATTAAAATTGTCACTTTATCGTTTAATTCGAAGGTTTAGTATTGAATTTTGTCGAATACGCAAACGATTCGAAGACGAAACTTGTTCATGCTAGAGGTACGGACTACGGTACGCAACGTTCGAATAATATTTAGTATGACGCAACTTTACGCGACGTCGCTGCTGTCATCATTGCATTCACAAGCAATGTTCTATTTTTGGGCATATTGCTGCGACACCGGCCACGCCCCCATGTCACATCTCCTGTAAACATGGAACACTCCTGTGGGTCTAGACAAAGTGCAAATTATAATCGCAAACCAGTCGAAAAGTGGTCGAAAAGCCCCTTTTTTGTATGGAGTTTTGACGGATTCGATTTTCGATTCGATCAAAAAGTGCGTTTTGTCTAGGGGGACTGTATTTAACGCTCAATATTTTTGTTTTGTTTTGAAGCGGTTCGAAAAGTAACACGTCTACGTTCGTTCGTTTCAGCCAAATGACGTCCACTGCTGGACAAAGACCTCCCCAAAGATTTCCATAACACTTATTTATTTGTTTAATAAAAATAAGTCGGGTTTTCCTCCCTGACGCTATAACTCCAGAACGCACAAACCGATTTCCACGGTTTTGCATTCGTTGGAAAGGTCTCGGGCTCCGTGAGGTTTATAGCAGAGAAAACGGGGTCCACGCGTACGAAGTCGCGGGCGGCCGCTAGTTTGTTTAATAATAATGATCCTTCTTCTTACCTTCCAGCTGCGTGGCGGACAACAGCCTCGGACGCGCGCGTCAGCACGTAGAAGTGTCCGGGCGTCCGGGCCCAGCGCGCTTCACGTCGCCGCCGCTCGCTCGCCGCGCGCGCGCTTACACGCTCGCTTTCGCTGTCGACAGCTACCCGCCGCTGGATGAGCTGCGACTACTTTATAGGCAGTTGGCGGTGAGTTAGACTTGGTTCCGATTTTACACAGTCCACGACGCGACAGCAGTGCGACAAACGAAAAAAAGAACAGAGACTCGACGACGAATAGTGCTACAGTGCGATGACGTAGTCACTAACATCGCAACGCGTTTTTAGTAGGTATATCAAAGGTGAGTGTCTATAGTTCACTCTATCTCGCTCTCTCTCTCTCTCTCTGTGTGTGTGTCTCGCTCTCTCTGTGTCGAGACAGGGAGACGTGGCGATGGCAGAATGACAACGCAACGCAGTGTTTTTTAGGATATCAAAGGTGCTACTAGTTACAACGCAGCGCAGTATTTTTAGGACAACCTAGGTGACAGACTCTCTCTGTCTCGCTCTCTCTCTCTCTCTGTCTCTCTCTAGCTCCCGTGGTACAAGCACTAGAGGTGTCTAATATAACCATCTCTCTCACGCAAAGCGAGACGCTATCCTGTGCAACGGCGTCTCTCTCTATTTCGCTCTTTCGCTCCCTCTTTCTCGCTCTCTCTCTCTCTGTCTCGCTCTCTCTCTCTCTGTCTCGCTCTCTCTCTCTCTCTCTCTCTGTCTCGCTCCCTCTCTATCTCTCTCTCTCGTTATCTCTCTCTCCCTCCCCCTCTCTCTGTCTCGCTCTCTCCCTCTTTCTTTCTCTGTCTCGCTCTCTCTCGTTCTCTCTCTTCCTCTTTCTTTCTCTGTCTCGCTCTGTCTCGTTCTCTCTCTCCCTCCCCCTCTCTCTGTCTCGCTCTCTCGCTGTCTGTCTCGCTCTTTCTCTCTCAATCTTGCTCTCGCTCTGTCTCCCTCGCTCTCTCTCTCCCTCCCTCCTGCCCCCTCGCTCGCCCACGTGTCGGTGTCCGGTCGTCCGGGCCCCGCGCGCTTCACGTCGCCGCCGCTCGCTCGCCGCGCGCGCGCTTACACGCTCGCTTTCGCTGTCGACAGCTACCCGCCTTTGGATGAGCTGCGGCTGTTATACCGGCAGTTGGCGGTGAGTCACATAGTAAACTCTTAGAGCCACATGAGCGTTGACAGTGCGCTGCGACAGCGCTGCGACGCCTGGTGACTAACGAAACGGCGACGGCACGCGCAAGTACCTACACAAAGGACGAAATGACAGGGAGACGAGGCGATGGCGGAATGACAACGCAACGTAGTGTTTTTTAGTATATTAAAGGTCACAGCTGCTAGTTACAACGCAGCGCAGTATTTTTAGGACAACCTAGGTGACAGACTCTCTGTCTCGCTTTCTCTCTCTCTCTCTCAGTCTCTCTCTCTCTCTAGCTCCCGTGGTACAAGCACGTAGAGGTGTCTAATATAACCATCTCTCTCACGCAAAGCGAGACGCTATCATGTGCAACGGCGTCTCTCTCTCTCTCTCGCTCTCTCTCTCACTCTATCTCGTTCTCTCTCCCTGTCTCGCTCTCTCTCTCTTCCATCCTGAGTCAACTATCAACTGCTCAATATCAACTCAACCAAATCAGTACCTACTAAACAGCCTCTCCATTTCCAGATCAACGAGCCTTTTCATTTCAGCAGCCAAGCCGCTGGAAGGATATAGTGATGCTGCTGCCCAATTCTTTCTTTCTTTCAATTGTTTTAACTTAGAACCGTCAACTCAACTCCTCATTAATTAGTAGTCAGGTCCATCAACTGTCCAAATTAGTACTTACTAACAACAGCCTCTTCATTTCCAGATCAACGAGTCATTCCAGCAGCCAGGCCGCTGGCACGACGTGGTGATCCCAGCGCCGGCGCCGGCGGGCGCGCTCACGCACCGCGTGTCGCATGAACTACGCGGGTTAGAGCCGGGAGCCGTGTACGAAGCCATTGTGCAGGCCAAGAACAGATACGGGTGGAACGAGGTGAGAACTAGCTAAGGCTTTTCTTTCACGTCAGAAAAATGCACCTAACAGAAAGCAAGCTAGTGAATTAATCCCACCAAAAGGCACCTCAAACCCTGACGACGCCTTCAGAAGTTTGAGTGAGTGGGTGGAACGAGGTAAGATTTTATTTCCTAATCTTTAAATCCAGTTGCCTAAGATAGGAATCCGGGCAACTTAAAGCAGTTGCCCGGTCTCAGTAGGTCAACCTCTGAGCTACTTAGACATTAGATAAATTTGATACGGGATTCCGGACACAGTCTTATCTATCTCAATCCATCCAGCCTCATGGCGGGCTCTACGCGAGACGAGAATCAGGACGAGAGGCGACGGGAGCTGGAAAGCACACAGGTTTTCCGTCTGACGATCTGGTCTAGGACACGCCAAGTCTTATTATTAGTCATCATCATCATCATTTCAGCCACAGGACGTCCACTGCTGAACACAGGCCTTCACCAATGATTTCCACATCGCACGGTTGGTAGCGGCCTGCATGCAGCGCCTTCCTGCTACCTTTATCAGGTCATCGATCCACCTTGTGGACGTCCCACGCTGCGTTCTCCGGTACGTAGCCTCCAATCCAGAACCTAGGCTTACTGCCCCATTGACATGAAATTTTTGAGGGAGGCCTTTGTCAAGAACGAACTTTGGCTGTTACGAACGAAACATTAAAGAAAGAAAAAATATTTATTTGGTACTAAATGATACACATTACTACCATAATAGCCGTGTAGTCCTGGCAGAGTAGAACTACTGCCTGGAAAAGTAGAAGAATAATGCGAAATTCAGCCCTTCGGGCCAGTGTAGAACTAACTTTCCTTTTGCTTTGGTAGATTAGAGGATCTCTTCCTGCAGTGAAGGCCATCCACGGCAAGATTCTAATGGTCCTATTCTATTCTCTACCTAATTACAGACAAAATAAAGTCTAAATCTATTTATTACTTACAGGTCAGCGACATCTTCCAATTCCACACGCTCGGCGGCACGCACACGGCGCACGCGGACGAGTTAACACCAATGTTCGCTTCGGCGTCCGACCGCCGACTGAGCGTCGCGCTCGCCGCCGCGGCCTTATATGCCCTTCGCGCGGCGGGGTGATTGGAGGGGGGAGCGCTTTGCGTCCGCTGACTTCTGTTGTATGGTCTTGAAAGAGTTAGTAATAAATGGGTTTAAAGCCCGGTCTGTGAGCACGTAGAATTTTGACTGTGCGACGGGCGCCCGCAGTGAGTGTGCGAGCGTGACAGCAACATAATTACGCGCGAGCGATAAAGATGGGTAGCTTGGGGTCATTGGACAAAATTGTACGTGCTCGGCGACCAGACTATAGAAAAAATAATTTTCAAAAACAAGGTCAAATATTCGAGACGCGCCCCTAGCGGTAACTTTCAAGAACTAAAATTTTCATTCATTTTTTAACGCGCTCACTAGTGAGGAAAATTTGATGTAAACTCACACTCAGCCGTCAGTACAACAGAAGTCAGTACTTTCAGCTTGCCCATTATTTTGCTAAGATCGTCTAACGATTGAGACACCAAAGACTTTAAAGTTATAAGTGTTGTGACAGACAGAAGTCCATTTATTAATTAAACTAGTTCTTGCCCACACCTGGTCGTTATACCGAAAAACACCCCGTAAAACGCCCTTTAAGCTGGTTTAAATCTCGTCAAAATCGGTTCAGCCGTTCCAAAGATATAACGCGACAAAAAGAATTAAAAAAATTTTCACAGTCAATGTAGGTACCAAGTAGAGATATTGATTTTTAAACAATGAATAAATAAATATACTAAGTGGGTGACGTTTTTTTCATAAATGGACTATAATTTCGTATAGGATACTTGGCTTCTAGTGTAATATGTAAATATTGAATGACATATAGGTTTAGAACAAAACTCACTGAATCAAATGTTTAACCAAATGTAGGTATACATTCTAACTATACATCGTTTCATCCACTCGGACGCGCCCCGCCATTCTCCGCGAATGTTCTCGTGTTATCGGTCCACGCTAATGCTCCATGAGTGCACACGCACACTACAGTAATGCCTTACGGCTTGCTCGGACCACACTCCCCGCACCCCGCGCGACCGAGACCAAAACTTGGTAGGGCGCGTACGAGTGGATAAAACGAACTAAATTGGAGGACAATCCAATTCAAAATATGGCAACAGAAAAAATATACAAATTCTACACTTGGTAAACATTGTTATTTCTTACTATGAGTCACACCAACCCATTTAATTTAAAATTAAGACCATTTATAAATTTTATAAACTTTGCCGTAGTCGGGTAAAAATTAAGACCATTTATTGAATTTGAATGCTTTTACTCGACTACTTACGCCCAAAGAAGCGCAATGTTTAAGTTTTAATTCAAAACCAAAGACAAACGCTTGGAAACGCACGTGAATAAAAATTCAATGAGCAATATTTAAAAACATCGTTACAAAAACTAGTATGATAGTAGAAAACGTTTCAAATTACTTACGTTACTATAATTTGTTGGTGTAACTCATTGTATAGTCCCCATAAGCTGAGCGAAGCGAAAGATAAACGACGTAATAAAATCAAACATAAATAATGATATTAAATATTAAGAACTTAACTTTTCCTCTTCGCTCAGCCCGCTTTTATGCTATACTTAAAGGTCACGTGTCTTGAAATGAAGAACTAGGTTTATAAATGTGATTTTTTCATTTATATTTAACATGATTTTGTACCTCAAATGTGTTAGGACGTGAATTTTCAACCGTTGAGTTGCCGTTACAACCACTGAGCCACCTGAGATACATTGTTTTCACTGACAATTTTTTATGATCGTTTCATCCACGAAGACGCGCCCCACCATTCTTCTCTAATGTTTGAGTGTTATCGGTACACGCTAACATCCATGAGTGCACACGCACACTACAGTAATGCCTTACGGATTGCTCGGACCACACTCCCCGCACCCCGCGCGACCAAGACCAAAAATTCGTGGATAAAACGATCTAGGTATAAATACCAAGACATGTTTCCACTGTCAATTTTCAATGATGTTATAGATGATACAGACTTTGATTGGACGACAGTAGCTCACAGTAATTTGAATATTTCGGTGACAAATGACTCGGTTAGCTCAGTGGTTGAACTCAGGAAGAAATCATTTAGATTTAAGCAGAACTTTAAACCTAGTTTTTCATTTCTTCTTTATATTTTCAGACAGTAAAATACGATCATTATTTTTCTGAAATAGTCTAAATACACTTTTTTCCAACATTTTCAAATTTAATATTTACATCCATAAATGAATTTATTAATAATACGTAGAATAAATATGATTTAAGCAATAAAATGTGTTAGTGATACAGCTATTTAGATTTTAAAATATATTTAAAATAATGTATTTTTATCTTCCTAATTTTTTTGGAGATTTTTATTTGTTTAAATTTAGGTGCAATATTAATTTTAGTGGAATTTAAAAGCAATATGTGTACACATCACTAGTTTAAATTAAAGAAGAGGTTTAATATAAATAAAATCTGATGTCTAAAAGATTCTTTTCGATCGAAATTATTAACTTTGGTTGCAAATCAGGCAACTTACTTGTTACAAAACAGCTTTGTCAATCAACGTTGTGTACCTATTTGGTCAATCTCATACGCTATTTAATATTTTTATAGAATTTAAAATGTCCTAACATAATTTTATTAAATAAAAAAATACAATATTACACTCCACACTGGCCAGATTTTTGGCAGCTTTGGGAGGCCAAGTATTTGCATAATTTTGTCTCTTATTTAAGAGCGTATAATAAAATCTATTTTGATTATTAATTTACATTTAAAGTTATTATTTTCGATCGATAATAAATATTCACCTAAGTCAGTCACTGCCAACTGGACAACTAAAAATTGAGCTAAATTTTTCAACTAATTTTAAAGCCACTCCGTGTTTTTGCGTATTTTACAAGAAAATGTAATTTAATATTAAAATAATCGGCCATAAGTAACTTTTAAAGACTAGTCATAATTTTTTCTAGAAAAATATATATATATAATGATATATTAGTTACTTGAGAATGTATTATATTGGTCGGGCTGTAGAAAACGCCTTTTTTTGATGAAAAAAAAACTGAATCCTGTAAGTAGTTCATAAACATGTAACTTTAATACAAAAACTGTGTTTTATTTATTTTAACCCTGGAAATAGGTACAGGTAGTATACAACTACAGGTATAAAGCCTGGTCTCCGAGCACGTAGAATTTTGTCCAATGACCCCAAGCTACCCATCCTTATCCACAGTCGTGACAGCAATATAATTACGCGCGAGCGATAAGGATAGATAGCTTGGGGTCATTGGACAAAATTCTACGTGCGACAGCAACAGATAGCATATACTGATCCTTGTGGTATATTGAGCGCTGCCGCGCTGTGATGTTTTAGTTACATCAAACGTCATCGAGACTGCATATTATTAATTTCAGACAAGTTGTGACAGCTTTGTTACGATACGACACATGTCTTGGAGCGGTCATTACTACATGAACCTAAGTTATGCTGGGAATAAAGAAACAAAAATGCCATCTTAAAAATATATAAATATTTATTACATAATATTTTTACATAACGCATTTTGAGAACTCAACAACAATATTATATACAGGCTGTTCGTATTTTTAATAAACAATAAACTTGAGCACGAAATATAATATTCATATTTTATTACTTTATTTTTCATAGAATTAATTTATCGGTTAGAATATTATTAGTGTTCCACGACCGAAATTACCAGAAAAAACACTAAACTAATAAAATATGACATTTGATGATAAAAAAACACCCTGTATAAAAAAATAGACCACCCAGTGATCATAAAAACGTAATATCCCATACAAAATCCATATACCATATTCGCTTAATAAATAAATTGTGTACAACCTACTTTTTTGATTTACATTAACAATATGGAATATTTCGACTACCATCATGGATTTTTAGCATTTTTCATGTATGAGTATAAGGCGTAACTGCAAGAAATAACAGAAATCTCAGTCTGAGAAGATATTTTAGAGCTATAGAAAGATCGTTTCATCCACTCGGACGCGCGCCACCACTCTTCCGCGAATGTTCTCGTGTTATCGGTACACGCTAATGCTCCATGAGTGCACACGCACACTACAGTAATGCCTTACGGCTTGCTCGGACCACACTCCCCGCACCCCGCGCGACCGGGACCACACATTGCTGGGGCGCGTCTGCGTGAATGAAACGAAGTAATACCAAGATATTGAGTAAATTTTCAAGAAAATAATTACACTACATAAGCCATATTGTTCCATCAATTACTTACTAGTAAAGGTACCCATAAGTATTTAGAAAAAAGATTAATAAAATATCCACATTTCTTACAGTACAGAAAATACACACACATGAAAAACAAACGGTGTCATATAATTTTTGCTTAACCAGCTAGTTCCCCGCTCCACCAATAGATGGCGCTTACTAAGTATTGCGGATAATTCAGTTGGGTAGTTGGCACCAATTTTGAGATAAGTACCTACTTCAGTAAAATTCTCCATAGAGTTACTTAGTACAAAAAAACCCAAGTTTACTTCTAAAAATAATAAATTTCACTTTTAATTTTAGTAAGAAAGAAAGAAAGAAAGAAAAAGTATTTATTTGATGCAAGTACAAAATAAAATAACAAACAGAAATAATAATAATTTTAGTGACTTTGAATTAAAAACCAATTTGGGTTTTCATTACTAATAAAGTGATGTACTCACTTATTTTGGACTTTACTTATTGCTTCAAAGATTGAGTTTTAAATCTTCAAAAACAACTAAAAAAATTAACTTTCATCGGTTTAAAGGTCTTGTAATCACAGTTAAATGGTGCCAATTACCCAATTTCTCTTATATTTGTGAACACAAACACGTTAAATACACAACCTGCGTGTATTAAAGCATCTTTCTGATCATGTAGTTCAAGATACCTCCGTTTTTGAAGTAGGTTAAGTCGACTTCAGTGTCGAAACGCACCTTGACTTGGAATGACTGGCCTGTGGATACCTGGAACGAAATATACATTGTTATAGGTCTGGCGCAGTAATTCGGGACTATTCCCACCTCTCGTTCCCACCGCTGCAACTCCTTGTAGCCAGGATCTACAGCTTGACCGCCAACAACCCAACCAGTGAACGTCAAGTTTGTCCCGGGGGAAAGTTAAACTGTCATTGGACCCGCAACGAAATTAATCAGAAGAACATAGGAGGAGTTCGAAATTAAGGTTCGACTTCCCTCCAGTGCAAAGCGGATGACAGGACATAAGCAAGTCAGTGCCTGAGTTATGGAAGCAGCAGAGGGATGACATAAAATAATGACGTTACAGAGCATATAGATGACCCACGCTGAACTGTCCCACCAAACTCAATGACAGGGGGGCGCTACCATCGTTCAACTATATGGTTTCCAACATGGCAAAAATCGGAACCAGCGATCCGGTATAGACGGTGGCGCCCCACTGTCAATGTCATGTATAGGACAGTTCAGTATTTTGGAACTATACTAAGCTTACTCGTACCTACTCGAGGGGTTAACGGGACTATATTAGTAATTTGTGGAAAAACAAATTATAATATCTTTAAAAAAAAGTGTCAGCAAGATTTTTTTTCATAAAACGACAAGAGCGATTGTTACACGATTTCACGCCAAAATTGTCTGGCTGGGACGAAGAACAACGTTTAAAATTAACTTTAACCGTAACTACAACCAATGTTTAAATAAGGTGGTGCATATTGTAACTAGCATAATGTTAAGTAGGCATGGAACATTTCATGAATAGCAGGTGAAAAATCATATGAAATGAATTTCATTAATCACACCTGCTATTTTACTTCACATAGACTGCTATAATTTCACAGTCAACGAAATCACGAATCACATGAATTTCATTCATTCATTCGAGCGAAGTTCGTGAGCGCAGCTCTGCGAAGCGACCGAGCGAGTAAGAAGGAATGATTTGATCATGTGCGTGTTAGAAAAGGACAAGACATGTGATGACGGACGAAACTAGTCATTTTAAATATGAACTTTAAACTCAAAGGTGTAAGGTTTAGATTTCCTTGTCATGATTCGTGTGATTTCATTAGATAGCAGGCAGATGAAATGAATGATTTTCATTAGTCGCGCGGTTATCAATGTGCTGTGAAACTGTTTGTTTTTTGTTGTGCGACATAAATGAAACATATATTGTTACATTTCATATTTTAGCTAATTAGCAATCCTTCATCATAATTCATACTTCATTAAAAGTAGCATATTATATGAAAGAGCTACATTAAAACACTGCGAATAAAAATCATTGCCTATGAAATTTCGCATGTGAAATCATATGAAAAAAAATCATCATTTCATACAATGAAAATGAATGAAAAATAGCAATCATTTCCATGCCTAATGTTAAGTGTATTCACAGTGTTACTCCAGAAAAACTGGACCACTGTACTCAAAAATATAACTATGACACCTGCATGCCTTGCGTCGGTCATAAGTCAGTTAAACAACGCATAGTGGACGTTCAGTATAATAAATCCGGAAAAAATCAAATGTTAGTGCGAGTTAAAAGAGCACAACGTCATCTAGTGGAGAATAAAAGAACTATCAACTCAAGTTGTGACCGATTGGATTCAGCGCCATCACTTTGGTAGCGGCAAAAATTTGAACTAAAATTGTTTAGAAACCCGACAGACTACAACAGACAGACGTAACGACGACTATGACTTTACGTGATTTTTTTTATTATACATATTTTAGTTTAGCCCATTAATCAAACCAATGCGATAGTCCTCCTACCACTTTAGCGCTCACCAGTTGGCGCCACTGTCTTCGCTACTAGCAAGTGACAGGACCTTACTCTACAGTGGCGCCAACTGGTGAGCGCTAAAGTGGTAGGAGGACTATCGCATTTGCACTCATCAAGATGGCGCCACTGTAGAGTAAGGTCCTGTCAATCGCCAGGGGTGCCAACTGTTAAGTATAAAAACGATAGCCCTCATTGGATCTTATTTAATTTATCTATACTAATATTATAAATGCAAAAGTAACTCTGTCTGTCTGTCACGCTTTCACGCCTAAACCACTGAACCGATTTGAATGACATTTGGCACAGAGATAGTTTGAGTCCCGGGAAAGGACATAGGATAGTTTTTATCCCGGTTTATGAAACAGGGACGCGCGCGATAAAGTTTTTCTATGACAGACAAAATTCCAGGCGGGCGAAGCCGCGGGCGGAAAGCTAGAAATTAATAATTACGAAAACAATACGCGATAAAGACTAAGGCCCAGAACACGGTGAAACGCAATTGCAACGGAACTGCAACTTCTAGTTACTTTTGAGTTGCATCGACCAGTTTGAAACCGGTTTGAAGGGTCGCGTCGTGTGGTCTCTCAACGGAATCTATAGCAGAAAAGACAATGCCGGAAATTGGCGTCTTTTTTTTTTCGCGCGGCCATCGACCAAACCTTATTTTTTGATTACAAAATAGTGTAATAAACCAAACTTACTACTACATGTATACCTCTAAACTCAGTCTGAACTGAGTTACGAGCATTAGAATTTTGATAATTTTACATACTAGATTTGCTTTTTACGCGCAAGCTTTGTATTAAATAGCAATAAAATAGTGACATTGTATGTGTAAACAAACAATACCACCCATTAAAGGCTCCAGACATCAGTGTGGAGTAGAATCAGCGCAATAAGAAAATAGCGGAATATTTTGTTGCAATTTCTTACAAAACTTGCGCGCAAAAAGCAAATCTAGTATGTAAATCATCAAACTTCTAACGCTCGTAACTCAGTTCAGACTGAGTTTAGAGGTATACATGTCATAGTAAGTTTGGTTTATTATACTATTTTGTAATCAAAAAACAAAGTTTGGTCGACGGCCGCGCGAAAAAAAAAAGACGCCACCTTCCATACAAAATCTGGCATTGCCATTTAGATGCAACTCAAAAGTAAGTAGAAGTTGCA